TAGGGTAACCCTGTAAAAATCAAATATGATATAATATTTGTAATTAACAAGGTTTACATACTGGATAGGAGACTTTTTAGCTTCTTTCACCATGAATACTGTTTTTTCTGTAGTGCATACCATAGAAGTGCTTGCATCAAATATGCTGAAATCAAAATCAAAAGTTTTTCAAACGAACACTCTACATGTTTATATGAATATAGCACAATTTACATACACATACCTTTTGCCCAGTCTCTTTTTCACTAGGTGCTCTTTCATTAGACGCTCTTGAACTTCCTCATAGGCCTGCAATATATGCATATATGAATATACTTTCAATTTCTGTGTAAAACACAGAACCTTGTTAAAATAGCTCTACCGAATAAAGATCGATACCGCCCAAGGTCCTTGCATAGCAAATATGAAACAAAGAAATAGTCCAAAATATCAGGTTTGACTCAGACAAAATTATTTGCCAATTATTTCTCTCCGGTAGACTACATTACAACTAAGGAATAACTGACTTGATTGTAATAGTTTTTAATTTTGAAGAAAAGTAATTTGACACACAGGTCGCAGATAAATGTTCAACAAATTTCAGTGCATTTTCTGTCAAACGAGTTCAGAAAAAAGAGAATAAATGAAAGATTCTGAAGAAATTTGTAAAAAATGAAAAATGGATATGCACAGATTTTAGCAATAACTAATATAAGTAGCAGAGTAAAAATGGCTCAAATGAGAAATACACTGCCTCAGTAGGCACAAACAACTTTTCTCTCAATCTCTCAACTCACCTGAATGGATATATGGTTCATGCCATATCCATATTTGATAAGGGCTCTTCTCCCACCGTAAAGTTTCTGATAATTCTTTAGAAACACTTTATGTCTGTCTAGGTGATCATCACACCTACTATAATTACACTGAATGACTTTATTCGTGTGTGACAATATGTCTACATACTGTGTGGATAAACAAAAATTAATCAAGGAAAGCTGAGAAAAGAATCCCATGCATAGGAGATAAATACCAAGTAGACTGAGTATTATTTTACATGCGTTTTATTTGATTGGAATACAGTTAAAATTCATTTTATTTGGAGACAAATGTAGCTGCATGCGTTTGAAACATTGGTAAAAGCCAACTTTGATCTGATCACAAACAATACAGCATTTTCAAAAACATAATGGCTGCCAGTTAACCATCTTTTATAGGAGAATAGAAAGGAAACTTGTATTCCAACTTATATGATATACATGTGTAAAACGTGACTGAAAATGCATAATATACTGGTGGTCAAAATGCAACATGACAACGCCCACTACTAATCACCACTCTCCATGCCACAAAAGCGTGATAAACACAGGTACCAGTAATAATAATAACAAAGGCACATCAGACTACTGACTAAAATACCGGTCGCAACAATGAACGCCGCGTTGGCACGCGAAAGAAAACCATAAATCATAAAATGAACAATAAAAATCTTCCACCTTAGTATCATGTGCAACTTCAAACCAAACTAAATTAAAACCACAAGTACCGATAGAATCACTCAAGGTACAACCAGTGAGCTGACTTACAGTAGAGAGATCGAAATATTTTTTCAATAAAACAGACCGCCAGTTTTCCTAAGCGGGAGCTACAGAAATCAGGTCCAAGGTCATTGAGAAACAAAAACAACTGATTTCCAATATGTTTCGCTATGCATCATGGGTCAGGAAGTTGTGAACTTGACCCGTAGAACTCATTCAAGCAACCCAGAGCTAGGACACTAAAATAAGGGGATGCCGTGTTTTTGTTTCTGAGAGATCAAGACAAGGACTTTCATTACTAGAGAAAAAAGGTAGGAAGGGGAATGCATAATAAATCAATGATTTTATATTACTTAAATGACCATTGGTTGGGTATATTGAATCTGATCTTGAAACAGATTGGTGTGCAACATGTATGTTTCAGGTTGAATGTGAATGGACAAAATGTCTCAGATATAGGTGAGGATGGAGTAGAACACATCGAAATGTATTCGAAAAGACTAAAAAATGAATGTGACTTAATGATGAATACATTTCATTATCAAATTCATACAAATGTCACAAGAATTAGACAACAGGCACACTCATCCGCTAATATACAAAACACTGCAATTATATATCGTAACTATAACTGTACCTCGTCATTTGTGATTGCATTTATTTTCTCACTTTGATCTTCATCTGAGACATCTTTCAAACTGTCCGACTCTGAAATGTAAACAATCTATTTGAAATATTTTTTGTTGTGTACATGTATGTAAAAAGGTAGACATCGAACACCACAACGAGAAAGTAAGTTGTTTTAGAAATATTGCGATTGAATGTACCCATAATTTTAACACGTGTGAAATATTAACCTGGTATAAGAATCTTTTCATGGACTGTTTCTTCAGGTTCTATTTTCCTGAATAAAAAAAATGAACAAAAGCTTTGATAGGAAACTGTCAATTACGTTTTGACAACATGTCTGCAATCTATGAAAAGGGGTAAACACTTATGTATGAAGCATGTACATGGAGAAACCAATTTTGTTTTTACAAACATTTGGTTAATACATTTGGACTAAACACACACAAATATGTAACAAAACCAGGTAAAAATGAAAGTATAATTTTTTTTTCCACAGAATGTTCTTTCAGACATTTCTCAACAAAAAGCAAAGACGTACTAACAATTACAATTATTAAATTACAAATTATGAAACTTCTCATACTATGGATAATTTTAACTATGTGTCTTTAATGTAAACATATTTTTACAATGTTTTTATTTATTCATTCACAAGGTAAGTATATCATTTTTGTTTTTAAGTATGTGTTATTGCCATGAGTATATTGCCATACATTATTTTAAGGATAGTTAATATCAACTTAAAAAAAATGTGAAGTACCAAATTGGTGTAAACTTAAAAATATAGTTAGCCTTTACTTTTATATTTGAATAATAATAATAATAATGATAATAATGATAATAATAATATACTCACCACTGCAGCAAATCATTTTTCAGTTCTTGTCTCAATGAAGACGATTCAGCCTACAAGAATAAACACAGAATCCATCATTTTTTATCAAATCATTTTGTTGTTCAATGAGTGTTACATCAACAAATATCAAAGTTACATAATAAAGCTGCATACTACAACTCAGATATGTTATTTCTCACCTGAAAGTTTATGTCTTCACCAAGCAAACAGCATTTCAAATACTACACAAAAAAGTATAACAGAGTAATGGTGAATCTCTAAAACTTGTATTCATGCAGTATTTGGCAAAATATATTTGAACTTGGATGCTTTATACATAAATACAGAAATGTAGATATGCAAATTCAGACTGATGTGTTCAGGTAATAGAAGTTAATGAAAACTATTTTCTAGTTAAACATAACATCATTTTTTACTAACACATTCAATTCTTAGCAACACTATACACTGAAATTGAATATTTGGTGAACATGCAGCTTAACATACCTTCAAAACAAACACACCACAGTCACTGTCATTATTTTGGCATGGTAATCCCTAAATAAATCAAATGATAAAGAAACAAGTCATTGAAAATGACACAGTCCCCGTTAAGTTCTCTTTGTGCTCATCATATTAAAGCAGAGGGGTTGTCGCGAGCGTGTCCTTTAAAGTTGAGTTCCAAGTGGCGTATACAACAGATTGTTTATTTACATCAAAACACGGGTTTCGTGCCATAGTAATATGGCCAAAATAAAAAAGCCGTTATTCAGCCATCTTTGATCTGATTATGAAACACACTGATATGTACAACAAACGTCACAATTGCGTGAAATTAGTCAGATCAAAACGTGTCCCAGTGTCGGTGACAGGCTTTGTAAACGGTTATGTTTTGGTTAGTAGAGTAGACATTTATGATAAACAAATACATTGTTGCAAACATAACGCCCAACCGTCCACTACATGTTATATAAATAGGTGACGGTAAATGTTGTATTGGCGACGCACATTTGTGTTAGGCTAGTTTATAGAGGGGCATAGCTCTTCAGTGTCGATAACAATGTATGAAAATAAAAATTTGATGACACCAACTAAAAACACACCACAGAGACTAAACGCCGACACAACTTGAAAAGAGCAACTGATCCAGGGGCGGATACACGATTTTTCATGGGGGACCAAACTTGAATATGGCCAGACTTATATTATACAAAAACAAATTGAAAACATTTTTCAACGGTGTGGGGGGGGGGGGTCTGGACGCCAAACCCCCCTAGATCCGCCACTTGTTAGAACACGGTATATCTCTTTCTGGAGAATGTGGTGGCCACAAAAAGGGCAGTTTTGTTCAGTTTCTGAGCTAAACGCTAAACGAACAGAAATCCTGTTGCACTAAAGAATGACCTAGTGTCAGCTGGTGTAATTTGCTCAACGGCAGAGTATATAGAATACGAAAAATTTCCGAAGCTGATTAAAGACAACGGTGGTAGCTCTAAGTACTTTTTGATTTTGTTAAAACAAAATTCCCTGGACTATTCCACACACAAAAACGCTTTTCAAAACAATGATGACTGAACACAAATGGGTGCCACACTGGGTTGCCAGACCGGGGTGCCAGGCAGCTCCAGTTTATTACAGGATTTAGTTATCGGTATATTTCGAAAATTGTTGAACTGTAACCATCCAAATCTTGTTTTTATACGAACGATCCCTGTCACATTCTGGGTTTGTTCGACACAAATGACATCACAGTTACCACTCCTTTGAGTAAAATGGTTTGTCTCATTAACCTCCGCCTTTTCGTCACTGATTGTTTTTAAAATGTAGCCAGTTTGTTGTTACAGTTATACCGGCCAACAAGCAATCGACGGCAACGAGCATCTGGCAGGACAAATGCACAATCAATCAAACGGACCGAACGTTCCAAACTAATTTCACGCAATTATGACGTTCGTTGTATGATGTATGTGCCAAATACAAATGAAAATGGTACATAAATTGTGGAAATATAGTAGTAAGGCCAAAAAGTCAGACGGCTGTCAATCGGCCATCCTTGACCAGATTTTGAAACAAATTGTCATGGACATGCATCCTAAAATGTATAAAGTACATGTGCCAAATTTGAATGAAAACTGACAGAGCACGTCCAAGATACTGCATAAAAAAACAAACAAGATGCCTGCCAGTCGACCATCTTTGATCCAATTGCGAAATAAATCGTCATGGACATGTATCCTAACATGTATAATCTATGTACCAAGTTTGAATGACAACTGACAAAGCATGTCCAAAATACAACATTTTCAAAAAACAAGATGGCTGCCAGTCGGCCATTTTGAATCAAATCGCTAAACCACTGCATGTGCATATGTCTCGCATAAAGTACTAGGCACATGCAAAGAATAAACGGAATCGGTCCAAGGGATTCTGAGATATGACTCCGGACGGACGCACGGAGACCGAATTATAAGTCCCCGTTTTCGGACTTCGTCCGAACGGGGACTAATAAGTAATTACAGCTAACAATGTAATGAGTCAAATTCATGGTTACTATTATCATATTATAATATATTAACACTATTAAACTAAACATTTTTGATTTTTTTTTACACAAAACAGAAAAAAAAATTGTGGTTATTATTGTTGAATGTTTGCAGTTATATGACCAAAACATCTGAAAATTACACTTAGTTCCTACAATTGTGTACCTTAACATAATGGTATTTCCATTTGGACTTTTCACGTGTCATGATCGTATCTGAACTTTGAGAATCTCCTGATATGTATTTTCTGAAAAAGGATAAATTGTAGTGTGTGTTAAATAACACAAAGTAGTGAATACAAATGTGAACAAGAAAACTCAAATACATTTCACATTGCTCACAAACACATTGAACTCTAGACTTGCAGCTCGAGGTTGAGGTCCCATTGCAGGAACTGCAAGAACTGTTCATTGAGATTGTCTACTGACTGAACATAAAAACAGGTCTTGAACTCCGCTGGCCTAGATTCCAAAACTGATATTTTTGGTGTCATATGATATTTAAAATCAGAATTCAAAGACTTGAAAATGAATGCCCTCAAAATCACGAGGTTCAAGCTCTGATAGTACGGTACTGCAGTCCGCGATTAAAATAATACTTTAGGTGCAGGATTTCTATTATCCAGTATTTATAAGGTGAATTGTCAAAGCCTAATCAACAGTGAGTGCAATAGTTCATAATTGTTGAGTTTGATTTGTGAGATATCAGTGAAATATTTTTGTATCAAACTAATAATAATAACAATTTGTTACTCAAAGTAATCAGACATGTGAATTGTTCAAGTGTGTCTAAATTACTGTCAAGTTTTATTCAAATCCAAATGGTGGTTCTTGACATATTCATGAAAGTATAATTGCCAATAAACAAAGTAATTAAACTGATTAATATGCATAAATCTGATTTTGAAGAGAATAAGATTCGAAATGACAACTGGTTTTTGATATCAGGAAAGATTAAATCCCAATTTAGAAACTAGTTAACCCTTATATTAATATACACACAAACTGTTAACAAAAACTAATTGGATCTGGCAACAATCATATAGTATCTTACTGTACAGTTTCATTCAAATCTAATCATTGGTTAATCTAATCTGATCAGTGGAATAAGATCGTACACACAGATGTACACACAGAAAGACACTGCTATGACATTAGCTCCAGTTTTTGTGCTGAGCACAATGGCAGTTAAAAATGTTCCAATATGTTAATTAACTCACCTAAGTGAATCTTCCACATAAGAATACTTTGATGAGAGGGAGTTGTAAATATCAATGACTTGCTTTTCTACATCAATTTTCTGCAATTCAATAATATAGTACATGTACATGTATTGCCATATTTGCTCTATTACATGGTTATTACTAACAGAAGTGCATCTAAACCAAATATTGCATTAATTGTGTACTGTAATGTTAAAATATCTTATTTTTAACAATAAAATCACCTCTGCCATTTACATAAGCATATACATGTCTAATAGTGCAAATACGATTATAGGTTCTAATAAATTCCTAAGTAAATCATTGGTGTGAAGTTGATTTTGCATGGCAAACTTAACACAATACTCAATAAATTACATTGACAATATGTTTCAAATTTATGTTCACAAGTATATAGATAGTATCAGTTTACAGCAAAAACCCAATGACAACAATTTCAATGATAAGTCATGCTTACAACCAATACCCAATGACTTGCAGAAGGAATATGTACAGGTACATACAACAGTTTCAGATTCCAGAGAGATAAACTCTGTAAGGTAAAAGCAGAAAAAACATTTGGTTAAATTTTCCAACAAACACCGGACACAGCACCATCCCAATAGCTCATTGGACATACAGCCTATTGAGCTAACAGGTAATCAGATGACCGATCCAAGGAAATTATTAAATATATATTCATATTACATTGTATAAACAGGTTAATTTTTCCTGAAATTCATTCATCTTATCTATAGGGCTACTTAAAACACAAATCACTCTGTTTATCAAATGACAATTCACTTAGATCTACTGTTACAAATCGCTGGCAAGATGATGGCGAATACATAGCCCTTGACACAATGGGCATGGAACCAGTCTCGTTTTAAAACACTTTTTAATAATTTCAGACTAGCAATGTATAACTTTGACTACAGAATAAACAGCTGAATTCCATTTTAAAACATTGGACTGTGGATGAATTAACACAAACTTGACTGGACAAGGATTCAGCAATTGTTACCTTAACAAAACCTATTGTACCAAACTGCGTGCACTGAATACGTTTTAAGACCAATGTATGATTTTTCACTATTTGGATCTGTTTGAAGTTGAGGTTATTATTTTTGGAGCAATTTGCTAAATAATTTCTCAGCTAAGGTTCAAGCATACTTTTTGTAATTTCAGTGTCAAGGATGCCTGCAAAAAAAATCAATATGGATTTCATTTGGGGTCCACTTTTAGAGGAATGATATATTGTTACAATCAATCACAATTTCTTTCGAGATTGAGGCTGTTAATTATAATGAAATATGCAAAGTTGGCATCAACGATTTTCCATTATGTTCACAAACACATATACTGTACAATATGCATAATACACAGTGATGTTTCACAGAATACAGCATTATTTAGATTTGAAAGTATGTACATACATTATAATAAATACACTATTTGACACGTTCAAATGATTGAAATTTTCACTCATAAATTTGAATTCATAATAGAAATAAATGCATGAACATGCATATGGAGCTACAAAATGTACAGCTACAGATAAAAAAAGCATTGATTGGGATTCAGCTGTCAGCATTTGTCCTTAATGAGGCCAACAAAACTGCACTGCGACTGCACTCGCTATCACCCCATCAAAGAGAGTGGGCAATGTCCATTCTGCTAACTGATGCTATGGCGTACTCCCTGACTCAGTTCGCCGCCGAAAGCACACGCGTCTAAAACCGTGTCTCGCTGCACAGTAGTAGCCCCGGCCAAGAGAGCCATATGACAATGGAGGATATCGCACATAGCCGTGCAGTGGCCTACCATTAACTTTGTCGCCTGGTCTAGGAGGCAGGTGCGTTCTGCGTCTGAGGTGTCAGAGTCCTGGGCGCGCACAAGAAAGTTCTCCAGTGTGGCGGCCACGAATTCTAGGAAATTGATGGATCGCAACTCTGCCCTCAGGGCGTGTTGGATAGTCTCAGACTGGGTCAATGAGAATGACAATGGAACGCGGCCGTCCCCCTTTACCCGGTTAGCAAAACAGAAATTTGTGGTACTGGAGTCTGGGGAAGGAGACTTGGGGTCCGATCGGGGCTTCTGGTTTCATCCCACGAATTGAGGTCCGAATCCGAAATTGCCCCGATAGGGTAGCGTTTGGTCCAGCGAAAGGGGTTATGCAAAAGATTACCCCAGGCTTTTGGCGTTACCTCCTCTGCGGCTGACCAATGACCGCCCCTCAACACTGTCTGCACGCTCAGCTGGACCAGGGGAGACGTGCAGGGCCCCATAGAAGGAAAAAACCTCTAGGGGCGCAGCCTCGCTGTTGCCGGTAAAGTCGGGTAACCCACTGCCTGAAAAATCTGACTGTGCAGATGCACTCTGATCAGCGGGAGGAAAACGAAATACGTTGGTTCCTCCACCATCAGACCATTTGCTTGGTATCCCAGTACGAGTACCGGTAGCCGAGCGCGAGGACTTCTCACTCATGCCAACGCACAACACACACATACCTATGCCGGTTCCACTTGCCAAGCGATCTTTTTGCGAACAACGCGGTCAGTCTTGGCAATTTTTACAAACCGCTGGAAAGAATCCCAGGCTTCAGAACCCCAGTGATTGCAAATATTCTCTGGGCAGACACCCGAACCCCGAACGCAGGTAATACATCGGTAGCATTTAGCATGTGGGTTCCAGTCTTTCAAGTTCCGTGTACAATGGTTGCAGGTTCGCCTCAAAAAACTGAGGGTACAATACCGGCGGCGAGCTTCTGGCGTTGCCAGTGCATCTATCCATTTCTAAATACATTGTAAATAAAAGACGACATGCATGAGGGAAATGAAAAGCATAATACACAAAGGGGAAAACGACATGAGGGTAAAAAGACAAGAAAAACATATCCTACCAGCTAGAATGTCGGATGCCGCGGCTGCGGCAATGACCCACGCTAGAAACCCGGTCAGGAACAAGACATGAAATGTCACAGTCCCCGTTATTTGATTATAAAGTAGTACAAGGAACATCTGCAAACAGTGAATGAATATGTACTCTATGTGGTACACTCATCATAAAGTGATTTCCCATAATCTAGTTTTGTACTGACAACTAAAACTTCCACTGACCC